CGGGTTAAAGAGCCAAAACTAACCTGGCTCGGGGCTCTCTGTTCCTGCGAGCTCAGTGAGCCCCATACATACTTGATAAATAAAATCCCCTTGCTCTTTACATGAGAAAACATCTCTTGGAGTCTTCCTTCACGCGGCGAATATCTCATCCCTAACAACCTGATGATTTCCCTTTCTGATTTATATACCATTGTAGGGGCTGGGGATTTAGCTCAGCGGCATAGCACCTGCCTGGCAAGCACAAGGTCGTGAGTTTGATTCCTGGTACCGGAAAAAAACAAAAAATTTTAAAAATTAAAAAAATTTATATACCATTGTACAGTGTAATTTTTTTTACAACAGTAATCATTTGGGGTTTCTTTTATTCTTTTCCTTTAAATATTTTGTTTGGTTTTTCTTTTTTTAATTAAAAAATTTTATTTACTTAGAAGCATCCAGAATGTCAACAAAGCAGCCGCAACTTTTTTTTGCAATTACAGAGTGGTATTCAGTTAACAGAACAACAATTATTTTGTATGAGCTGCATCAGAGATGACTGAAGATGAAAAACTACCATCCCCATACATAACTAATTTGTGCTGTGCACCAGCCAGAACCTGCTCTAAATTTCCATGGCAATTTACAGTCCTCATACTGTCCCAGGCAAAGTTAGTGGCTACTGAAAATACCACCAGGACAGGGCTATCTAAAGACACATTCAGTAATATGTTAACTATAAAAAGAAAGACACTGTACAGTTTATAAACAAATCTTACACAGCCTTACATTTCAGTTTTTTTTTTTTTTTCAAAAAGAGTGAGTTGTGTACAGGGGAGTTAAATGCTTTATAGACAAGAAAAAAACCTGCGCTAGAACCAACTTATTCATCATCTTCTTCTTCATCTTCACCCTCTTCTTCTTCTTCATCTTCCCTCTCTGCCTTCTTTTTCTTGCTTTTGTCAGCCTTGACAACTCCCTTTTTCACTGCATCAGAATTTCCTTTAGCTTGGTAGGCAGCGACGTACTTTTCCTTCAGCTTAGCAGCCTTCTTCTTGTACAGCTGCTTCTCATCTGCCACAGTATTATTCCACATTTCTCCCAGTTTCTTTGCAACATCACCAATGGAGAGGCCAAAACGTTCTCCTTTGATTTTTGGGCGATACTCGGAACAGCACAAGAAGAAGGCCAAAGCAGGCCTCTTGGGCGCATTGAGATCCTTGAACTTCTTTTTTGTTTCTCCTTTAGGAGGAATGTAAGTTTCCACTTCTCTTTCATAATGAGTCTTGTCTGCCTTTGCCATGTCTTCAAATTTTCCTTTCTCTTTACCAGACATGGTCTTCCACCTCTCTGAGCACTTCT